GCCGCGCTCCCGGCTGCTTCCCAGAAGAGGAAGCGAGAGGAGGAGAAAGACTCGAGCTCAAAGTCCAAGAAGAAGAAGATGATCTCTACTACCTCAAAGGAAACTAAGAAGGACACAAAGCTTTACTGTATCTGTAAAACGCCTTACGATGAATCTAAGTGAGTTGGTCTTTTGTGTTCCGGTTTATTTTCTTACAAGTTTAGCTGTTAAATTACCAGTTTTTAAGAAAATGATGATGTCAGTAGTAATGTAAGTGAAAATAGTTAAGTCAGGGTAGAAACGTTTCCTCTGTGGTCTTCAGCTGATATTCTTAACCTTGATGCTAGACAAGTAAAGTTGTATTATCTTACATGTTCATAAGTCGTGTTTGTCCTTCATCATACTCTTTTCTGTCAAAAACAAGCTTTCTGTTGCTCCTTTGCTTCCTCCTCGCGTCTCTGGAGTGACTCCGGGTCAGTCAGATGCTCTCTAAGGAGAGGTGTGTCGCTCTCATGCCAGAGCCGAGCGCAGCCTCTGGATTCTGCGGTTAGCCCTCTGCATCAGCTCCTAGCGACTGTCAGGCTGTGAATGGTGCCAGAGGTTTTGAGTTTTGAGTGGCTTGTTTTTTTAATGTTCAATTTTAAAGAATTCTATGTTTTTTGGTATTAGAATCTATGACTTCTATCTAATTTTTGTAAAAGTTACCACCTACTAGGGTCAAAAAACTACAAACGTGTTGTCTCTTTTACTTATTCCTCAAATACGATACTCAAAAAATTTGCTAAGCCTAGCAGCTGGAAGCTGTTTTTGACAGTTGGGACTTGTATTTTGTGATATATACAAGATTTTAGGAATTAACCCATAAATGTAGTTTCATTTTTTCTCATTATTCAACTAAGGACTTAGATTCCATTTGAGCATTTAAATATAGCCCAGCTTTTTAAAGCCACAATAAACCGCAAATATTTTTTGCAGCACCAAAAGTTTATCTGATAGTGCTAAAAAAAATGACTCTTTATAATTAGGAATTTTTAATGTCTACCCTGAGTGGATGCCTAATGAATTAATAAGATAAAATGTTTGGTACAACATTTACACCGTCCAGGTGGTGCTGTTCAAATTAAAACCTGATTGCAAGAGCCAGACCAAAGCTTTTTGTTAGGAGGTGAAGCTGTGTGTTGAATTAAACTCAGATCAGTTTTAGACATCTTCACTTTTTATTGTCTTTATTATAAGTTATATATAGCATAAAAGGCTGAACCCTATTAACTGATTTTTCACTTAGTCTCATCCAAGTGTGCTTTGCTTTAAGCAAAATAGATAAAATGATTTATAGAACAAAACAGAACATGATTTGTTTTCTTTACTAAAGGATCTACTTAAGGAATTTTTTTTTGGCCTATTTTAAATACCCAGATAGCTGAAATTAATTTAACATTCAAGTTTCTTAGAATATTTCTGTAGTGTGAAATATGAGGCCTGCATACATGCACATACATGCATTCCATGCGTTCACTTTATTGAAATTGCCTCAATTTGTGGATATTTCCTGTTTTCCAGTTTGTCATTATTAGCATTTCAATATGTTAATTCCTTCCCTATTTGAGTTAGGATGAGTTAGTGTTTTTTTGGGGGCATTTTGACCATACCTCTTACCAAACTTGGGTGGTTCGGCACTCCTGAACGTGAAATGCAAGTCCTGAGCCTCCAGAGCTACAACCCAGCATCTGGGGAAGGCGACTCGCAGGACACCTTAAAGCCGGTGAAAATTATGCGAGAGCCATAACCCCAGAGGAAAAGCAGTCGTAGGATAAACCACTCAAGCAAGTGTTACTCTCTGTGCCCTGGAGCGGGTTAGTTTGAAGCCGGAGGATGCCGGGTGAATCCACCCAACGCACAGGACCCGAGGCAGCAGCGCTTCTCGTGACTTTCGCTAATTCGCAGACTTGGACAGAGACACACGTCAGTAACACTGTGTGTGTGTCAGGAAATACTTTTCATTTTGTCATTTAGGTTTTATACTACAAAACAAAAGCCTCAAGGGTTCACTCCGTGGACTCCCACGGTTGCACGCTCAGGCGGCCCCACCTTGCCACCTGCCGGCAGCCCCTCGCCATTTCGGACAACTCCTTACACCCCTCTCACACCGCTCGTCCTGCTTTCAGAATCAAAAAGCCCCTTCAGAGTCCTCCCGGTTAATCAGCCTGCCCTCTCTCCACCTTGTGGCACACATAATATTCAATCCAGCGATTATCTAGACTCTTTGGTAGAAATTGAACCACTCCATGTACCTTTCTTAGCTTTCTTCTTCATACCTCATTTTGACCATCTCCTCCACCTGCCGGCCAGCATGTCCTCGTAGTGCAACTGCAACTTGGTGTCTGCGCTTTGCTTTGTTCTCAAATTTAAATGATGAGATACATTTTCAAACCTATCTAGTAGCCCTGAATTTGAAATGGCTTCTGTGGCATAGGTTTGACAGATGTAAGTCTTGATTCTTTGGCTCTGGTTTTCGTGCCTGTTAAGTTTTACGCACATTCATTAAGAGGCAGACATTACCATCAGTGTGTTGTTTATTTTTCCAAATCCCAGTATGTTTTTTAAGACCCATATTTCACTAAACAGTATATTTGTTGAAATTGATGTGAGTGATGTTATGTTTCCACACTTGATACAGTGTCAGATGCGTAGTTGCCAGTGGTTCGATGCAGGATGTTTATTTAGCTGACTCATTGCAGAACTAGTTATCCTGTAAGATAGTGAATCAGGACAAGGAAGACAGATTTAAGTATCATGCAGCTCAAAATGACAATTACATTGTCATTTTCATTGTGAATACTTTTAGGTTCTATATTGGCTGTGATCTTTGTACTAACTGGTATCATGGAGAATGTGTTGGCATCACAGAGAAGGAGGCTAAGAAAATGGATGTGTACATCTGTAATGATTGTAAACGGGCACAAGAGGGCAGCAGTGAGGAATTGTACTGTATCTGCAGAACACCTTATGATGAGTCACAGTGAGTTCTGATAAGAGCATCATATTTAATAATTTAGGAAGCCAACTTGCTCTGACTGGTAATTTATTTTTAAATAAAAAGCAAGGTATTTTTCTGAATATATTTTACACCTACATTACAAACCCCTTTCCCGTTTTTTTTCTCTTCTTCTCTCTTTACCTCCCCTTCAAAATTTACATTGCTTCATAGTGAATGTTTGAGATGCAATGGGAAAAAATATGGTTTAAAGGGTAGATTTGATTCTTCACTGTGTAACATAGAAATTAATGAGATTAAAATAGCCTGACTGTTTGGATTTTTATCAGTGTTTGTAATGGTGCTTTATTGTAGGCTAGAAAACCACTAATTTGGGTGCAAGCTCTGAGACTCTGGAGCATCTCCTAGGGTTTTGAACTCCCAGTTGGGAGGCCAGTATCGGCTTCCCACTTGATACGGTATTAGTGGAAAGATTTTTTTGGCTTTATTTTGTCTTGAGCATTAAAGTCAATTAAATATTCTACCTTTTCCCTTCATATTGGTTCTCCAATATTACACAGTGTTCTTAGTAAACTTGGAATGCTTATTCTTAACATCAGAATTACTAAATTAGCAGATTGGAATGTCAACCTAGAAGAGTATTAAAGCAATTACAATACTAAAACTACTTTGTATCCCAGGGCTAGAACATTTTCAGGTGCATGTTTTATTACTTGTAAAAGTGAATCGTAGCAGTGGGATGTCATCTGTTTTGAACTCACATTTGCACCTCGGGTCTTGCAGATTTTATATTGGCTGTGATCGGTGTCAGAATTGGTACCATGGGCGCTGCGTTGGCATCTTGCAGAGTGAGGCAGAGCTCATTGATGAGTATGTCTGCCCACAATGCCAGTCGACCGAGGATGCCATGACAGTGCTCACGCCACTAACAGAGAAAGACTACGAGGGCCTGAAGAGGGTGCTGCGCTCCCTGCAGGTGAGCACCGTTGCACGCAGCTTTCAGGGAGTCGGCCATGTGCCCCGCTGAGTCAAACTAGTCTGGTGACGTGTGCCGCAGACTTCCGTCTTCCCATGCAGTGTCCTGAGGTTCTCCAGGTCCACATGTTGACACAACTGTTGTTTGTTTAATGCTCTTACTTAAAAGACTTGCTTCTGTGACCTAAAGCTTCTGTCTCACAGCCATAAATTGGAAAGGTTTTGTTAATTCTAGTGAGATGTCAATACTTATCAGAGAATTTGACCCCAAAGCCTTCCCTCCCTCATTGAAAATAAACAGGAGAGCTAGATGACCCACAGGAATTTAGCGCATGGTACATATATTCAAGATATACAAATGCTAGCCTGACACGTCCTCCTATTTTAGTCTTAATCGAGAGAATTGAAGGAATAGCAATCTCAGTGTGTGGTTGAACGGTGCTAACACCCACTGCTGGCACCAGCAGTAACCGCCGCACCCTCAGACTCGGCCAGCCTCACGGGCGTGGCAGCAGTGCCAACACCACTTAGGGGCCAGAATACAGATTTCTTGACTCCTAAGCTCGTGCTCCACCCCAAACCCGCGCCATGTCCTCAGGCCACCTTTGAGAACCATTATCATAGAGTACGTTCATGTGAGGTCATTTGTGGCTAGAGCAAAAATCACCTGGTATAAATGACTTCATCTATTAAGTTTAAAACTGGCTTTTGGAACTTAAGGTTTGGTTGATACAGAAACCGGACTGAGAAATGTAAACAAACTTACTATTTCCACTTGATAATATTGATGCTTATTTCTCATTACAGGCACATAAGATGGCCTGGCCGTTCCTTGAACCGGTAGATCCTAACGATGCACCAGATTACTACGGTGTTATTAAGGAGCCTATGGGTAAGCGCTTGAATATAGTTTTTCAGTAATCTCAGCAGATATCTTGCTTATCATCCTCAAATTGATATTTCATGAGTATACACAGAGTAAGACTATGAGAGTATAAATACATGCGCTCACTTTGAAGGATAAATAGGTGTTAAACGTTTATAAATATGCATAGCCTTGGACCAGGCAGGTTCATTTCTTAGGATTTATATGTGCACAGGTGTGTTGCTCGTTGAAACAATGTTTGTAATTGCAGAAAAATACTGGAAAAGATAGTGGAAGGGTAGTGGAAGGGTAGCTAAATCTGATGATACCTGTGCAGGGTATTATGTAACTATATAAAGAATGAATAAACAGTGAATAGGTCAAAGTCAGTCATTTTCTTTCTTTCTTTTTTTTTTTTTTTTTTTTTTTTTGCTTAGAACTAGGGTGTAGGCCAGAGGTACAGGGGTCGGGGTGGGACTGAGAGGATTCACCAGGGACAGAGTGGGGAGCAGAACAGGTGGATTCACTGAAGTACACTGCTGAGGAAACAGAAGAGGCCTGCTGTACCATGTGGGTCAGCTCCCACTGGGGAGCTGGGGCTCGAACTTGTGCTGCAGTGGCTGGCGATAGTTTGATATAGCACTATGTCTTTAACCCCTGCAGTACCAGGGAGGCCCTGAAGTTATAATTTTAAATATTTGCTAATTTGAACAAAGAAACTAGTTCTTTGGCTTTAGATGTCCTTCAGTAACTAGGAGTGTATTTACTGTGACTTTTTTTCTGTGTCTATTTACTATTTATGTATTTTGTCTTTTTCTCTTGGGATGTTCATATTGTTATCACTGTTCTATAAGGGCTCCTTATATACTAATGACATTTAAAGCTTTACAGTAATTTTTTGGCATATGGCAGTTTTTAAACTTGTGAATTCAGATCTATTAATCATGAATTCTGCTTCTAGAGTCACTCTAGATAGAAAAACCTGTACCTGCCTGTTCTCCTAGGACTCCTTTTCTCAGGGATACCTAATTAATTGGGAATCCCAAAATGTCCAGAGACTACTGACACACTTTTTAAAATTAGTAAATACCTAAAACTTAAGTATGAAAATGGCATTATCCTGTGTGGTGTGTTAAGCATTCTCTTGTGTGAGTGGCTGGTCCAGCCTGCAGAGTGGACTGGAATTCAGTTCAGGACAGGTGCGTTTCTGCAGTTGTCCTTGTTTTGCTCATTCTTTCCTGTCCCTGCGTAAACTCAAACTGTCAGAGTGAGCAGAGGAGTTGAATTTGTGTGTGTGTGAGAAAATATAACAAAATTTGCCATTTTTATATGAACGGTTCGTTAATTATATTCCCAGTGTTATGTCTTCTAGTACATGTTATGGCTTTAAATTTTACCCTTTAGCTTTAATCCACATGAAGTTGTTTAGTCATACAGGCGAGGCAGAATTTTTTCTTCAGATATGTAGGCAGCTGCCTAGCCCAATGTATTAGCAGGGTTTCTTCCTCTGCTCATTTATTTTCTAAATGCCTTTAACTTTTATTTTTTTGGATGAACTTTAAAATGATTTTCTCACTTTCCAAAACAATCACTGAGGGCCTCCCGGGTGGCACAGGGGTAAAGACACGGTGTGATTCCGCTACCACCAGCCACTGCAGCACAGCTGCAGCTCAAACCGCAGCTGGCCGGGGGCTGCCCCTCACGGCACCGCAGACCTTGCCTGTCCTGCCCCTGCCCCGCTCAGCGGTGTATTTCACTAGCTCCGCCTGTTCTGCTCCCTGGTTTGTCTCCGGTGAATCTTCTCACCCCCACCCTATGCCTGTGGCCTGCACCCCATTTTTTGGTATGTGTAAATAAATCTTTAAAAAATAATAATTGAAATTTATTTTGGATTGCTTTACCTAAGTTTATCTCTCCTAGATTGATTACAGTCACTTGCCTTTTACTCTCTTCCAGATTTTTATGTTAAATTGTGTGTGGAATTCACCTTCAGGCACAGCTTTCTCCTAATGTTAGTTCAGGTCAAGTTAACTTAGCATGTTTACACCAAGGCAGTCACCACAAACTACCCTGCTGATCTTCGCATTTCTGTATACTCCCCACGGTTACTGGCATTTTTATTTGTATCAGCTATTTTTGCCTTCTATAATTTTTTTAAGGAGGCACTGTCATTGCCACCATGAATGTACCCCTTATTGTCTAAGCTAAGGTAACAATAAAAGCAGTAAAGAAGAGAAGATGAAGTTGGTAACGTCTGATATGGGGATTACAAAACCACAGAGATTCTGCTATAAATTCTGGGTTCCCCCTCTGTCCATATAGCAGTGCCTCACTAGTTACCACGTGGTTTGACATGTATTGCTCATGGTGTATTTTCCTTATCTCAAAAAAATTGAAGAGTGGTTCTCTGTAGTTAACAAAGATGTACAAGAACCTTCTCCACAGGGTGTCTTTTTAGACATGCAGTCAACACCAGAGTTGGAAACGCGCCCCTGTTTCCTGTTGGATTGCTGAGCAGTTCCGGTGGTGAGCCAGCTTGCTTTCAGGATTGCTTGGCAGGGAATGTATATCCTTGAGTCAGGACCACGTACTGCTTTCCTGTTAGAATAACCTTACAGCTTCAAAATGTTTACATTTTCTGTTTTTAAGACCTTGCCACCATGGAAGAACGAATACAAAGACGATATTATGAAAAGCTGACAGAATTTGTGGCAGATATGACCAAAATTTTTGATAACTGTCGTTACTACAATCCAAGTGACTCCCCTTTTTACCAGTGTGCAGAAGTTCTTGAATCATTCTTTGTACAGAAGCTGAAAGGATTCAAGGCTAGCAGGTGAGTGAACTTTCTCAGTGTTCTGAATTAATTCAGCACCTCAAGCTCTTCATACCCCACTCTCTGAAGATACAGCCAGTGCAGTTTATGATCACCTTAAACCTTGAAATGTAGATGCTTTAGAGAAAAGGAAAGAAGTCAAGTCCCTAGCCTGGATTAACAGTATGATAGCATTGCTAGGACAAGTGAAAAGAGTTAATAATGAGAAATTGCTGAGTTACTGATTTAAAATTAAAATTGTTTTTAAAATTCAAGAAAATGTTTATCAGATGTTTACAGATCACAAAACGCTATCCTTCTTCTGAACGCCTAGACACATTCAGAAGACAGTGGTAAGACCGAGCTCCTGCTCCAACTTGACAGAAGTATATAAATGCTGTTCTCTTGGGTAGATTCAAGATAGGACTTTTCCTTAATTTATGTTTGCTCTATCTTTGAAATCCTAAAATATTTCATTTTTCTGGATATTTTTGCTGTGGTCAAAACTCTTATGTGCACAGATCTTTTCTTTGAATCTCCGGTCCATCAAGCATTGAGAGCCTTGCGTGGGCTCCAGGCTCTGGCCTCATGCTGCCTATTTCTGAACCTCGGCTTCCCCGTCTCAATTCCATCATTTTCTTTTTTCCAACAAAGGCCTATTTTGCTTTCCTATGATAATTGCCCTCACTCTGTAGCCTTTGAGAATCATTATTCATCTCCCACCCACTAGCCCACAACCTGTATCATCCCTTGATACTCAGACTGGGTGGATTTTGGCTGGATTGGGGTCTGCATATTATTATCTGTATTACCTAAAGAACTCCTAAGGGAATCTACCTACCAAAATGAGTGCTCTACAGAGTAAATTTCCCCTGAGGAAAATCTTACAGTGTTTTGTCTCTCTTCTGCTCCTGGAAGAAAGTAGAGTAAGAATTATATTTTATTGTCAGTTTATATAAGCTAAAAATACAATCCCAGCCAAAGTAGCCAATTACCTTCCCAACAAAGGAATCAAAAACTATAGATAGGGAAAACAGAGAGGGAGGCAGGCAGGTTGTAGACCAAGATCCAAGAAACTGTATAAAATCCTATAAAACTTTACCATTTTTATCATCCCCTGTTAACCCACTCACTGCAAAACTTAAAATGTAAAAAGACTCACTCAACATGACAGAGTATCCAGGAAAGTAATTATAAAGGGAGTTTTTTTTTAAATGTGACGTAACTCCTTTAGCTAATTAGATTTCAGCAGATGGTAGAATACAGGAAGCAGATAGAAGAGGATTGATTGGGGAAGCCAGGCAAGCCACAGCTCAGAATCCGCTTTTAAGACTCTTCAGCAGGGATGATAGCTTACTGAGCAGTGGGACTCCAGACAGCCTCCAACATGAAGATTTCAAAATACAACGGGAGAGGAAAAAGGTGGGACTAACTAAAGATCTATATATGGGACAGTCACCCTCTCTAGCTTCTGCATGTGGACCTGTGTGAGAAGCCTCAAGAATTAGAAAAATACAGTGTTCTTATGTAAAGGAATTAAATAAACTGTGTAGAACCAGAGAGAATTATACCCACTTGAGGTTCTCAGCAGGGATAATTTGCCCACCCATTCCCAAGAAGTATCTGGCAATACCTAGAGACACTTTTGTTTGTCACACTTAGAAGTAGGAAGACAAACTGACCTTTAATAGGAAAGGCCAGATATATTGCTAAATACTGTCGATACACAGATAACCTCCCACCACACCAAAGAATTACTCAGCCCAAAATGTCAGGAAAAAAGAAATACATATATGATGGAGAGTGTTGATAATGTGGATTTTTCATGCCAGAAAGGAATATATGAATATATGGGAGATCTCTGTACTGTCCTCTCAGTTTTTCTGTGAACCTAAAACAGCTTAAAAAAAAGAAAGTGGGGAGTGGACCTGGAGGGCTGCATGGAAATAGCCAGCCTGCTGGCTTCTCACATCTGGACATCCGGAAATGAAGATTTTAGGGTAGAGAGAAAACCTTAGGCTAAACGAAGACGGTTTGGCTTTCAATAAATTCCATGTTGTCATAAAAACGAAAAGAATATAGAATATCCAGTATTCACTTAGTGAAAAATTCCAGCATGAACAGAGAAAACAAGAATTTACTGGAAAAGAATAGAAATTTTTCCTGGGCCAGTAAGAGTTACAGGTTGTCAGGTCCAAGCAGATGAATTCATTCATCCAGCAAATGTTTCTTAAGACCCTGTTATATGACAGATATTAAATATAGTGGTGAAAAAAATAAAACTGGTTTCTACCGCACTCACATATTGATGGGGCGAGGGGTGGAGATGGCGGGGGGCATGAAAGGTGAATGAATAAAGCTAGCTAGAGAGTTGGAAAAAGACCCGCCCCACATACATCACTGTAAAATTTACAAAGACTAAAGCTCTTTCGAGAGCTTCTAAGGAAAGTTAAACAACTGTAAAGTAACAGGAACTAGAATAGTATCAAACTTTTCTGTAGCAACACAGAATACTTTGAGGAAAAAATTATTTTCTGCCTCCAAGTCAGTGTCTAAACAGTCAAGTGCAAAGGCAGAATAATACAGTTTCAGTCATGTAAAAACTCAGAAAAGGGCCTCCTATTCTTAAGATGTGCTCTACAAAATAAAGGAGTAAATCAAGAAAAGCCCTTGAATCTAGAAGGCAGGTTCAGCAAAGCAATAAGAATTACTTTGATCTGTGGTGACATTTGCACAAAAGACGCGTGCAGCAGGTAGCACACATTGGAGCAGGGTGGTGACTTTCAGTGTTTTAGTATCAGCCTATACACAAAGCATATAAAATTTAATTTTAAATTATAGGGAAGTAAAACTCAAAGGGAGATTAGAAAAATGCTTTTATGAGCTGTTGTGATTTGTTTTACTAGGACAAATAGTAGAAAGTTGGTAAAACACAGTAGCATGAGAAATCTAACTGATGAGGAAAAAAAAGCTCAAGTGCCTGGTGCTGAGGAGCCTGAACTCGGGTCATGGAGAGGGAGGGTCACAGCTTCCCACGACCCTCTCCAGGCTTTATTTGTAGCTCTTGCAGTTCTTTCTCTAATAAATTTCTAAAATTTATTTGTGAAAGTGGAAAGGCTCAGAGCGTTAGCAGTAGCTGAGGTAGGAGCTGGGGGACTTGGTGGCCCACCCTGCTGCCCTTTTGCCAGAGTGGGAGTGGTTGCACCTGCTGAGGGAGGAGGGACGGCGCCTGCCGGGCCTGTGGCAGGCAGCGCGTGTGGGAGACCAGGGCTGGGTCTGTCGCACAGTGAAGGCACCACGGAGGAGAGCTTGTCACCAGATTGTTTCATGTGGCTTTTTGCTGTATTCCACTTTACATCATTTTCACTAAAGAATGTAGAAGTTAGTTGAGACTTTTGTTTTCTTCATCTCTGCTTAAGTAAGTAAAATTCAGTGTGAAGAGATTTCTAGGGAATTTGTTGGTTTCCAGATTTAAGGCAGAATGAAACCTCAGTAGGCAGTCACTGAAATATTCATTTATACAATTCTGGTATTTCCTTTGCCATATTTCCCCATTTTTAATTTATCATCCCCAGCATTGTTTGCACATTTCGCTGCTGTACTTTGTTATAATTCTTCATTTATACCATCCATGTTCTTTCTTTTCTTACAGATTGTGATATCTTTAGTCTGAATTTTTAACTGGAATCAGAACTGGAATTTGGGTCACTCTTTTATTGTACCACGTGATTACCTAAACCAAAATTGCCCCCACAAAATTTCAGATTAGATAACATAATTTTTTAATGTTACAAAAAGATGTATAGTAGTAGATAGTTTATTCCAGCAGCCATGTTGAGCAATGTATTTAAGAATTGTAAACTCCTGTATTTATATACAAGATTGAAATACAAAGTACTTTGACTTAGTCCTGATACCTGTACAGAAGTTGGCTTACTAACAAAGATTGTGAATAAAACTGTGAAACTAGAAAGGAGACTTTCTGGACTTTAATAGAAAAATGTGATTTTAATACTGCTATTTCTGGGTTTTTTTTTTAACATATTTTCCCCCTTTATCCTCCCAAATCAATGTAAATAAGCACAAATACACCCCCACACACCGCACGCGTGTGTGACTTTTACCATAATGGTAATGTTTCTGTAAATGTCTCTATTTGTTCCTTTGACTAAAAATATTGTAATCTTTATTAGGAAAAAATACATATTTTTTTAAATACTGACTTTTTTCAGTGAACTATCATGTTTAGTGTATAGTACAAAGCTTTAATAGTATAGGTTCAAAACTCCTTACTTCTCATGTATCTGCTTGCCAAGGGTGAGTGAAAGAACATGGCTGCTTCCCCCAGACAGACTAATAACCTTGGCATCCACATAAAGCATCACTGTTTTCAAAAATGAAGGGTGCTTAATTGTTCCCTTTTTTCTGTATTCTGTAGGTCTCATAACAACAAACTGCAGTCTACAGCTTCTTAAAAGTTCAGCGTGTTAACCTAACATAAAACACAGCAAGAATCTGGTTGTCTGAACTATTTTAAATTAAGGAGCCAGATGTTTTTAGTCAGGTTATCCTGACAAGACCTGACCCAAACTTCGTTTTTATTGGTCATAATAGTCCAATTATACTCTTGGCCAATTTGTCCAACGGACAAGGGAAAAGCAAAGTCAACGACACCATTATCTTGTCAAGATCAAATGGTTTTACTATTGTGGCAGAAGCGGGAAAACTTTGTTTATTGAAAAAAAAAAAAGAAAAAAGAAAGCAAGAAAAAAAGATAATATGGGGTCAAGTGTAACTCCATGGAAATGCCACGTCTGCTCTTCAGTGAAGAAGCTGGTTTAGAGTCTCACAGAAAACTTTTGACTGTATTTATTTATTGTTGCAAAAAAGACGCTTTTTTATTGCTGCCCTCATTTGTCAGCTAATTATTTTTTCTTATAAAATCCAGCCCCGGTTATATGTAATCCATTCTGTATCTTATCATGATTCCTGTAGGTAAAAGTACAAGACAACCTCTAGATGTCTTTTCTTTCTATGAAAGGAGCTGCTATGTACACATGTGCACACACACAACTGGGAATCAACAATGAGTTACTGTTCATGGTAGATAAAAATTAAGCTTGCATAAAGGTTGGGCTAAATGGTCCTGGACTACAGACTCTGTTGCCTTGAATATAACAGTACAATTTGTCATTTACTCTGCACCAGGCTAAAAGGAGTAAAAATCTATTTGAAGGTATCTTGTTTGTAAAACATTTGTCAGATTCTAATTTTTTTCTTTTTGTATTAAAATTCAACTATGGATGTATATGAAACAAAATAAATGGAGATAATTTTTCTCCCACAGATGGTGTCTTTGAATGTTCGCTAATGATTATCTGTCAGCCTTTGAGGGGGAAGGGAGGGCTGCAAGGCACATAGAAGACAAAAAACATCCGATTGTACCTGGCTTTTTCCAGGACGGCAGCGTCCCTTTGTTTTATCATTCTGAGCCCATTGTCACCATGTCAGAGGAGAATCCTCAGGGATGCTAATACTGTTGCATCGATTGATCGTACTAATAAGAAGGGTGATGTTTCAAACTACACATTGCCTTCGTCTGTACAGATGATTCCAGACAAGTGATCAATGACAGACAGCTGCTTACTTTATGAAGGCCGTTTTTTGTTTGTTTTTTAAGATGACTTCATTCTTGTATTTTGCTTTGGTTGGTTTGTTTTTCATGTAAGAAATAGTATAAGCAATAGAGAAAAGTGGAACAGTGGAGGAAGGTGTATGTTGTGTGTTTTTCCTTTCATTGTTCTAACCTTACACATTGTGTTACTGCATTGTAATGATAGTTTCCATCAAGTCTGCCAGAATTGGTTTATGCAGTTTGCAAAAATTTTACTAAATTTTGCACTACTGCATCATAGCTTTGTCCTACCAAGTTCTGGAATTTAACAGATTAGTGTTTTTAAGAAATTTCCTTCTGTTTGATATCACCCTGCTATGCAAAACCTCTCAGACCTTAGTTTCTTAAAAGAAAGACGTTGCTACAGTTCCCAAGTCTTATCATAGGCTCAGGGGTACAGGTTATTTTGGGTTAGTTTTACCTGATGACATCCATTATCCATTCCTTTTTGTTCATAAAACCTGTGCTTACAAATGAAAGAGACTAATCACTCAGTATGAAAACAAGGTTTTAACTTAAAATATTAACATGGAAGTAGTCAAATATAGGTTATTCTGTCCTTTTACTTTTTAAAAAAATCTGATACATATTGTATGCCCTATGCTGATGCCAGAAGCCTACATTTTAATGGTTCATAACACTGCTCTGCATCTCGTCCCGTCACAGTATTTCTGTATTATTTATTCACATGTAGGTATATGTGGGCTTAGTCATTTAAAACTTGTTGCAGCAAGAACTTTCCTACCTATAGGCAATAGATTGCTATGTTTTTAACAGATTGTGGCAAATTCTAAACAGCAATTCTTTTTGTACCTGTTAGGACATTCATCCTAGAAAAATAAAGTAATGTTTTTGACAATGAATTTGGTGCAGTTTCTAATGAAACAATGATTTGTTGGTTGATATGTTTTCTCTAGCAGCGAGCGGCATTACTGCATTGTACAAAAAAGGTCATTTCATGGAACTCCTCAGACCAGGAAGTTATTCATTTCATATGTGAACTTATAAAAGTATAAAGCCTTTAATAATTTCTACCCACATAAATACATAGTTTTATCAGTACAGAACTTTAGAAAGTAATATTTGAGAAATATACATTATTTTTAACATAAGTTTAAAAATAAGTCTCAAAAACTACTTTTCTATGAGTATTCTTTGACAAGCTTTTGCTATTCAATAATACATCAGCAATTTTGCCTTCAGTAATTGAAATCGTGGCGTGCACATTTATAATACTGTTAACATTTTTATACCCAGTTTCGGGGCATGTAAATACATTTGCTTTAACTTCCTTGGCTAAAATTATTTTCAGTGCTTGTTATCTTCACTTGCCAATCTTGAAAGTATTTCATAAAGTATTGTCATAATATGGTAAGCCATTTTCTCCTATCCAGATTCTGCAGGGTTTGTGTTTTAGTTGATGTAGGTTTTAAAAAATGTGAATTTTTGGAAGTATTTTCTAAAGTAAACAAATTACCTTTCTGTATTTCAAATGGCCTTGAGTGTTATTTAGAGACCCTGAGATAATACTGTTTGTAATCTGCATTTTGAGAGTCTGCAGATAAAAGGTCTTTCCTACTTCTGTTGGTTTCTAGTAGGCAGACTGCCCGCATCTTTGTGTTTCTGATAACAAACACCCAGCCGGTGGCTTTTTACATTTGCACACTCAGGGCCTGAGCTAGACTGAGCCCCAGCACCAGGAAGCCTTCCTTCCAGAGGGGCTACTCCCTTGTTAGCCTCAGGGGTCTAGTCCTTAAAAAAAAAAAAGGTGGTGTCCCATGGGCAGAGTAATGTCTTAACAGCTCTGGGGTGGGGTAGGGGTGGCCAGCTAAGAAGTACTTGTACTCATTTGAAAAATGCTAAGGTACTTCTAGATACTTAAATTCAGAATTGATTTAGCGACCAAAAAGGGGCATTTATTAGAAGCTCACATAGTACATGAACCTATTTGGACCAAATTCAACAAAAGAAATGTGTTTTTTGAATTGGTAAGAGTCCTAAAATGGAGGTCATGCACTGTAGGCAGTTTTTAAGTGTTTGCATAGATGTGCAACCTTAAACATTAGGGAAAAGATTAAAGAATGCCAAATGGCATGTTTAAAGGGCATTAAAAAGCTAGTGCCAAAGGGAAATGCGTGTTTCACAGATCTGTCCCTGCTAAAACAAAACTTTTTTTTTTACCCTTGACACCTAACCTAACCTAATTTGAAGGAGGTGCTGTTGGTTTCCTCCGAAGGCAACCCTGTCATTGATGAGGCCAGTTACATGTGCATGTAGCCCTAATGCGATAAACAGCTATCGGAGTATGAATTCACTAATTACAGTTAAGTCCATACAATGAAGACATCTCCAAGCTATGACTGAGTGTGAAAGAGGAGATTCCTGGCCTGTTCTTTCTGACCTGGAATCAGCAGCCTTAGTCACTGTCCCCGGTGTTCATCCCCCACTGTGTGTCCTGTCATGCCTGCCCTGGTCTTGAATGATGGCCTTAATTTGTCAAGACAGTTTCTAAGAAACTGGCTTGCCTATATTTGCTGGGTATGAGCCAAATAGCACGTAGATCACTGGTTCAAGCCAGTCCCTCAGAAACTTAACTAATCAGTCCAATCAAATCCTCACCCGCAGGCTTCTGTAAAAGTGACTTGAAACCAGAGCTACTAACTCTTCTTTGTACACTAACATCTAACATCCAACCAATGTGTTGATGTAGCTATTTTTTCATTCCTCCATCTTACTCATGATCACCACTTTCTGGCATTTAAGAATTCGGCTTTGATTTTGTGACTTGTGCTATTTTATTTATATCAAAATTAATTTTTATCTTAAAAACCCAGAAACAGTAGTTTGTGTAATAATGCAGTTGTTTGCCCTAAAAGCAATTCCACTAAGATTTTTTAATAAGTTTGCACAGGACTTATTTTTGAAACTTATCTAAAATTCCCTCAATAGGGCCTCCCTGGTAGCGCAACAGGTGAAGTCTCAGAATTATGAAGCTGTCCGCAGCCACTGGTCATCAAGAGATCAAACCCCAGCCAGGGAGCTGACCCATGTGGTGCAGATCTCTCCTTTCTGTGGATCTGTCTGTTCTGCTCCCCATTCTGTCTCTGGTGAATTCTCTTACCTCTACCCTTCATGCCTCTCTTTGGCCTATACCCCAGCTCTTGTATACATAAATTAAAAAATCTTAAAAAATATTTCCTCAGTAATGTTTTACTACAGAATAGTCAAAACTTCCTTTTCTTGCCTGTTTGCTCTTAGAGACAAACAGGTAACAGTATCTCCGATGTCTGTCAGCTGTTAAGTCTTAGTTACTACTACTTGCTTGCTTCCAAATGGATTTACTAGCGACCTGCCTGGTACCTGGGCTTCTTGGGCTCCATGTCTGCGTGTCCCTGCGTCTGCAGCTCCCTGAGACCAAATAGGCTGTTTTTCTTCAGTGCACTGCCTTTCCCATGCAGTAATCTTCAACTAGGTAGGGTTAGCAATGTCTCTGGTCAGTAAAACTGACTTTTGAAAAAAGTTGTTAATGTCTATGTGGACTCCAGTAGCCAATCAATATTATATTCTACTAGTGATTAGGCCTGTTTCAGCTGGCAAGCATTAACATTCATATCCTCCTTGCAAGCAGTCATTGAATATTGAGGGTTTGGGGAGTAAGCTTAACGGTTTTTTCCCAAACCTTTGTGGCACAATGAGGCTAAAAAAACCAGGTGTGGGCCCTCCCTGGTGGCACAACAGGTTAGGACCCAGCATTGCAAGCTGGCCGCAGCCACTTCAGTGCAAGTTTGATCCCTGGTTCCAGAGGTGACCCACATGGCATGGCAGACCTCTCCTGACCCGCCTACTGCTCCCCTCAGCAGTGTACTTCATCAGTAGGCCTGTTCTGCTCCCCACTCTTGTCTCTGGTGAAGCCTTTCACCCCCAGCACCTCTCTGGCTTGTACTCCAGCACTGTATAAATAAATAAGTAAATCTTTTTTAAAAACAAAAAAAAAAAAGAAACCATGTGCATCCAAGATCTGATTTCAAGGCGTGGTTTACTTCTTTACAAACACAAACATGATACTTGGTCTTAATAGAAAGATGACATCAGATATACCCAGAAAACCTTTAGCTATGAAGGGTTTAGTGCCAGGGAAGCATGTAGAGAAACTATCTTCCATTTTGGCGCAGCAGGAACACTTGCTTGAATATTTTGCTTGAATGAAGTCCGTTAGTATTCCTGGAGTGTAAACTTTAATACTCGTCTTGGGCACTGACCCTAGTGTTTTGCTATAAATGACATTTCATATATGTCTTTGACTAGTGTACTTAACATCTGGACAGCATTTTAATGTGTACAGCATTTTAAATGTGATGCTTTGAGTATAAAATTTGGTTTGATACATGATATAGACTATTCAAAGTTGTATATTTTAAATCAAGAAAATGTTTTGTGAACTATTTCTACTGAAGAATGTATTTAAATTAAAATAATTAAAAATAAAAAAACATGAAGCAGTGATCTGTTAACTGGACAGGTCAGTCATCTGAACGTTGTGCATATACGGCACGGCCGGAGCTCAGAAGCATACCAATAAGAACCATTTGGTAAGGAGGAAGGTGACTTCAAGGTTAAAGGTAGCACTGACTACTCCTGAGTTCATAAAGGCGCTGTGTCCCCTAGTCTAAAGGGAAACCCCATTTCCTGGTAATAGACCTTTCTTGTTTTGTTGCTGAATTCCAAGTCTCTGATGATCCAAAAATGCCCAGATGGAATGTTTCAAGTGCACTGGGTGTGAACTGCACTTTGAACTTGCCCATCCCTTTTTCTGTTAAATCTTTTCACGTAGCTGCCACTGCTCCTCAGCAATCCATCTCCCGGGCGAAGGCGGCCCCTGAGGACCTGCAGCAGAGCTGTCGGGAGCTGCCGTCTCTTATGGTAGATGTGCCCCATCACGATATACCTGCTGCCTGAAAAGTAGCGAAATAAAAATCTGTCGTTATATAAATGCCATGAAACAAAACACAGGAAAGTCTCATGATCTAGCTGTACACGTTGATACTCGCACATGTAACTTGCACACAACCCGTGGAAACAGGCTGGTGGCTTCCATCAGCCACATAAACAGCCAGCATAGCAGAACAGGTGTAGTAGGTTCAGTTACTAGAGGGATTTTCCACCCAATGTCCAGAAAGGTGTGGAAGTGTGTCTTAGCCTGCACGACCCCCTCCCCCCAAAAAGCCCTTTCTAAGCTCAGTTCTGAGCAGAACCCCTTATGCTTCCCTCAGGCAGTGGTTATGTCATTCTCTGCTTTCGTCAATAAATACAGGTGCCCGCTTAATGCCCACTGTGCTGTTCCCACCCTTACCGGGAGGCACGAAGAGGGTGTGGGGTTCAAATCACAGTGACCGAACTTGTACTGTCTAAATTCTATTCGCTTTATGATACAACCCACCCTCCCCCCCCCCCAAAGTGCTGGGGTGACCAGCTGGGAGCGGGCTGCAACTTCCAGCTTACAAGGGGTGGCACACAGTACACAGGTCAGGTCAGTTTCAATACCAGGTTTAAATTCTGGACATGGCCTGTTGCACGCGGAGGAGTCAAGGGCTAATAAGTGGACTCGGAAGAAAAACCCGTCCGGAGTGATGTACAGGCGGCTCAACTTGTACAGCCCGTCCCGGTCCACCAGCAGCGTCACCAGGCGGATCCCCGCGCCCAGCGTGTCCACATCGTGCACGATCCCGTTCACGGCTGCTCCAAAACACAGTTTGGC